GCAGAGCAAGGGACACAAATTAGTGCCTTGAGCATCATGTGTATCAGTGTCCTCACACTGAGAAATGGTGGTGGGGCACTTTGTACTAAAGCTCGTCAAACAAGCTTTAGTTTAAAGTGCCCCATGACCATTTTCCAGCTTGGGGACACTGATACATGGGACTCTGGAGTCTGCTGGAGCACTATAATTTCCACGCTCCAGCAGACTTGATTAATCTGAGATGTGTGCATAGGGGTGTCAACACTACAAGCTCTTTGTTTTTCAGGGGTCCAGCATTCAAATATCTGTTTAGGCATTTCTGGGTAAGTTTTTCTTACCCAGGAGAACAGATTCAGGAGAATTCTTCTAAATCATTGAATGTGAGTATGTAACTCCAATTACTTTTAAAGTCAGTGGGAATTTCACTATTGTTCTTCACAGCACAAAAAGTCTTTACCTTTGTGCTCTCTTCCCCCCTGCAACCTCCCCACCCATCTGCTCTTCCATTTCTGGTTGTATATGGGTACTTTAGGCAGGTGCACAGAGCTTTTTGGATCATCTGCATTCAATATTTTGTTCTTTTGAGTATTCTGGCCTTTTGATCCTCTATTTTTTCCCCACCTCTACATTTTGAACCCTGGTGAATCATACTCAGTGGATTATTATAGCCATTTTAACTTGATGTACTCTTGAGCTTTAATCCTATGCCTCAAATGACATTGCTGCAAAATCAGTCTATTTAAATATGTTGGAGGTGAGACACAAGGCTAAAATCCAGCGAGACTTTCCATGGTGAAATGGAGGTAATTAGATGATTCACAGGAAGATCATTTTAAGCTTTCACTATATTTTGAAGGTTAAGCAAATTTGTAGTCATCACAGTACCACAAAGGGTTTACTAGGGGAGATCAGCTCTTTTGTTAACTTGTTGCAATCTACAATTCTCTTTTCTTTCCTCTTTTTTGCATATTATGGACATTATTTGAACGCTGAAAAGCAGTTCATGGGTGTATGCAGGCAGTATATGTCATGTGTAATTTTTTAATTTCCTGGCGGCAGCCTCTCTTACAGGTGCAATAGTAGCTTTGTTTATTTTTTGTTCTTCATCAGGGCTTTTATTAACATTCTCCTAGATCTTTCAAACTGCACCTGGCCTGCTGAGTATAATGGCATCTTTGCCTTGGGCTCTAGAGAGGATGGGGAAAGCAGCAGATCAGATAGTATGGATGCAAATTGGAAATAGCAAGCTTCACCCCTTAAGGCAGTTAAAGTGAGGACAAATCTCAAGGGAAGAGGAAGAACAGCACGGCCATGCTGTTAGTTCTCCCTGAAGTTGCAGAAAAGGCAAGCAGGTGTGCATCTAAGTTACCAATTTGACAGTCTGCTCATGCATCTTACCTTACTGTATCTACAGGTCATAATCCTATATTTTGAGATGCAGATTTGGAGGAAAGGTGCTCAGAGGTAACAGTTTGTGTTCCAGCAATGTGATGATCCCTTCAAATTCACAGACTGATCCTCTTAAGCATAAAATTCTAGATGAGTCAACCCTAAATGAAGAATCACATGAAACAACACTGTCTGTATTCTTCTCTTCAACAAACCAGATATTTGACTTCATACATCTGCTCATGAAGCAAGGCCCAACATCAAACTGTAGATTAGAAGATCAAAGGATACAGGCAAGTGGGGAACATATCTTGCAGCACATGCTCAAAATACACAACAGAAGCAGGTGGCAGGAAGGTTTAGCCTCTTTCAGCACATGGCAGAAGCCATTACTGGGTAGCAACCCCTTGCTCTGCAAAGGTGCTGTAGGATCCAACTGGTCATGCCAGCTGTTGTCAAGAGGTGCCAGCTTCTGGTGATGCCATCCAGGAGTAATCTGGGACCTCTCTCATTTGTTATTGGAGGATGGGATTATGCAGGAGGTGCTTGTGGAGGTGGCCTTCATCCTTACCTATCACTGTGAACTGTATTAAGACTGAGATCTGATTTCACATAGGTCACTAAACAGCCATCAGATGGAAATGGCTTTTACACACTGTTCATTTGGACTGTAACCCAAGTGCCAGCTGAGTGGTGAAAGGTCATCTGATTGTATTACCAGTATGCCTAGTCTCATAAAGATAGCACATGCTTTTTAAATGTCAAAGTACATCTTTCTAGGTTTCTCTGCTGATATCTACTGGATTTGAAGCCTAGGAAATGAAGATTGGTCTCTCTACTGTGTATTTTCTTTATGGATGGTCCTTGACTGCATTTCTGTTTTCAATTACGAATTTTTTTGTGGGGGCAAAGTTTAATCTGTCGGCATCAGGAAGTTTCTTTCAGATAACCTTTTATTCCTTTCCCCACTGCTCCTCTGCACTAATCAAAACTATCACCGTAGAGATGAGGTCAAGAAGGCTCAACCTACCATATCCACTGTCCTTGGACCAAACCACAGGCACATGAAGGAGCACCAAGAGCAGCACATCTGCCAGGAAGTACCTGGAGAACAGCATGTCAGCTCTGCTCTGGACCAAGATGTCAGAGGGCAGACAGTGAGACAGTGAGGATTTAATGTCTTCTTCCTCCCGTTAAGTCCACAGTCAGGGTCCCTGGCACAAAAGATGGAGAGGTTTTAATTAAGGAGAGGTCTTAAACTGATAGGGAGGCATTTTTAGCTCTACAGTAAAAGTTCTCAGAATCTGTCACAACAGCTCATAAGGAAAATCAGTTATTTTTCTACTTTACTTTTCACTGTATTTTAAATGATTTTCATTCCAATAAAAGCCCAAGTAATACCACATGATAGGTACATGAGTGAGCCCTGACAAACTGCTCTGCCAGTTTGCCTTGGAAAGATGACCATGCACAACTTCCCAGTCCACAAAGATCACTCTCAGGGCTAGATGTCCATGGCCAGAGGAAGGCTGTGTGCAGTCTGTCTTGCAACTTTTACTTCATTCTTTTACAGAATACAAATCTGTGCTGTAGGATGCTCCTCACTGTATTGTGTTGTCTCTACAAACTGCAAGGCAGGTTTTCAATACATAAATCTTACTTTTATGCCCTTTTCAGCAGTACTATTATTAGTGAATATGTGTTTTCTTTCTTTCTTCTCCATTTTGACCATTCTTACATAGGAATGATATTACTTAGTCATTTGTATCTTACATTTCTTCTGAACAGCACAGGACCTGTGCGTGTCTTACAATCAGCCCAATGATAATATGAATTAAATAGTGGATGGAGTAATTGGATAGCTATGGTGAACTCCATGTCTGCCTGGGAAGTCTGATATTCTTAATTAGCTATGTAGCTGTTGCTAGGACACTGGGATTGTTTAGTTTTTTGAAAAAAAATACATATTAAAACATTTGTCTTTGTAAAACAATGGCTCAAGTGTTCATGCTTGTTTGTTTATCAGCTCCTAGGAACCATTTTATTATGCTATCATACAATAAGTCATGCATTAGCTCTCCCTTCTGAACAGTTGGGGATGTATACTAAAACAATGGCAGTGCCTATCAGTATGTGTGTCCGACAGTTCATAAATAAACTTTGTTAAAATGGGCCAAAGTTTTTATTCATAGATCTGTGGCCTGCTCTGTTAGTCTCTTCATTATCTGAATATAATAGGAGATGACCAAGCGCACAAGACTGCAAAAATTACGAATGGTAAAGGCCTAGTAGTACATTGAGAGCTAATTCCCACTTTTGACCATGAGAGAGTCTTTACAGTATATTATAGATAGCCAGCTCCCAGCTCTGAAGGGAACAGCCGCTACTTCTCTTGAGAGGTTATTTAACTCTGCCCCAAATCTCAAGGCCTATTTTTCAGGGTGTTCATACTACATTATCCTTTTTTCAGTTTTACTTTTCTACCTCAAGCAAAAATAGTTTTGTTTCCTACCTAGTGTCCACAACCTTCAAATACGTTTAGGAGGTCATGTTATAATTCATCATTTAGTCATACTATACTTGTGCAGTTTTTTAATCTCTTCTCCTAAACCAATTATGGCCTTCTTTCAGCTGTTCTGATCACATCCCTTCTTTGTGCTCATATTTCTCCACCTCATCTAAAAATGGCATGTTCTACCACAACTTTGGGACATGGGGGTAGGGGTGTCATCAGGAAAGACCTCATAGCCCACTTGAATTAATGACATTATTCTTTATTTCTCTTTCTCTATTCTAACCCAGCTTCCTCTCTCACTGTGTTTACCTCTTTATCCTAAACATAATGGGCACTTTCTTCACTTATTCTTTTGTCTTAATAAGTTCCTGTACTCATTCCTATGTCTCCACTGTGTAACACAGACATGGCCTTTGTAGTCTCACATACACCCTGGCTTTGTGAAGAATAAGAGGAAGCAGCCACAGCACTCTGGAAGACAGACACTATTCTTCACATGGTTTAAGTCCTAAACATTGTTCCTTCAAAATGCTGTATGATCTCCTGGCTACAAGTGAACAGCAAAGCTCTCATTGGCCTCAGTGGAAGCATGAGTTCATCCTCTGTCTTTATTTCCCATGATATTATTTTCAGGAGATAATCTATTTAACCAGTTGGCAGAGATGATTGGATGGGTTTATATGTACACTTCAAACTCTTCCTTTTTCCTAGCAGAAGCTCTTGTTCCTTTTCCTTTCTGTCTGTACAGACATAATCTGCTTCTGCTTCTCAAGAGCAATGGGCCAAATTCATCCCTATAGCAGCTTCACCAATGAAAATAAAGTTACTGATGTATCAGTGATGAATATTTTCCAATATATTTTTGTACGAAGTCACTGATCCTAAAATAATTGCTCTTCATATCTAGGTATAGAAAAACGCTTTAAAATTCTAAATGCAAACACCATCTTCAGAGTACAGAAAATCCACATAGCAGCTCTGTTCCCAGTTCATCATGGAGTTCAATTGCTAGCAATATAATGAACAGTGAAAAAAAAGTCTTCAGGAAAGGCATATCTTGCTACCAATTCACAGTTACATTCTGTGAGAAAAATAAGAAAAATTTCTAAAAATGTTGCGTGGATAACAAGTTTTGGCCTGAAATTTTCAGGCCATAATACAAATAACAAGATTCTCTCTTTTTCTTAATACTAATGAGTCCCAAGAGTGCTCATAAACATTGGCAGACTAAATTAAGCACTATTTTGCCAACTTTTGCTCCTGCTAAATTGTAGTTAGTTTTAGTAATATGGTGATACATAACAACGCCCTTAATGCTATTCACTGGGATTTCACTCCTGAAATTCTGTTTCAATGCACTTCGACCTGTGGCCATACAGGTTTGGCTAATATTATCATGGTCAGGAAATGCCTAATGTATTTGTTAATGGACCCCTAACTAGGGAAAGCATATGTCTGCAGCTGCATTTTAATCATGCTATGATGAAGGCGGCTTTTATTTTTGGTGCTTCTAAATTTTATTCATATTTAATGTAGTTGTATGTTTGTATTTGGCTGAAATAGCCTTAAAGCAGTGGAGGCCAAATTTTTTGGATAGGCAGGACACAAGTTAGCCTCACACCCTCCCCAAGTACCACTCTGATCTTTTTTCCTTTAGTTGATCTGCTGCTCAGCTTTCTGCTCCCTGCCCTATGCTTCCTGCCCAGGCTGCTGCTCTGCTTTTTGCTTCCTGCCCTGTACTCTCTGCCTGAACTGATCCTTAGCTTTCTGCTCTCTGCCTTATCTGCCACTGTGTGCCCAACCCCTCCCCAGTCTTCTGGGTGCTACACACAGAGGCTGCCTATGCCACTTGTGGCACCTATACCATAGGTTGGCCACCCATTTTAAAATATATGAGTTTGGTTTTGAACATGTATTTTTGTTGACAGGAAATAAGTTAAAGACAACTATCAACATGCTTTTATAATTCTATTCTTATTTATGCAAATATCAAAATATAGTTAGTATTCTGTTCACAGATTCTGGCTTTGATTCACAGATTCATGCCAAATAAATCTATAACAAGACTGACAATGCATATTTAAAGCCCAATCCTATTCAGACTTCACAGAAGTCTGAGAACTTGTTGATTTTCCCCTTTCAACTTGTTCATGCTAGGTTGGTTACTACTCTGGATGTCCACAAAATCATTGCAGTTTTGATCAATAGTTGCCTCTTGATTTTGCAAGAATTCATTTAGATGTTCATTTAACCAGAAGTCACGGTGGACTGGAAACAATATATGGTCATTATGCCACTACCATGATGAGTAATAGAACTTCTGGATATTCCCCACCCTCTGTTTTCCCAATAATACCATTTGCTTTTGGTAGTTCAAAGTTTTTCCTCATGTTTCATCACAGTCATTAAATCACAGAAAAGTTTGTTTCATTACAATTTCTACTAGTTTAGAAACCCTGGAAGAGAACTGTGTGCAGGGCTGGTAACTGTAATTAAACAGAAGTGAACAAGTATGGATGACTGGTCCATTATTGGCACACTGCATATATTAAAAATTGTGAGACCATAGGATACTATGTCAGTGAGGCCATATAAGTACATTTTATACAAGGGTATCAAATTCATCAGGGCCCAAGGGGCAAATGAGTGGCATGGGACCAATCTGTGGGCTGGAACCAGCCCACAGACTGGCCTGTGTGCCCCTGTGCAGGGCTGGACTGCCTCTGTGCACTGAATGCAGAGTGCATCCCAGACTGCTCCTGTATACCACTGTGCCTGGCTCCACATGCCATGTACAGTGCGTAGGGTTGGTGGCCAGGGCCAGTACACACCACATGCAGCATTTCGAACCAGTCTGAGGTGCATGAGCCACACCATGGGCTAGATGATAAGGTTCTGTGAGCCTATGGGCCATATCTTGGACCCCTCTGCTTCAGGAAGTATCTATAACTAAAGAAACAAGACAGAAGCAGGACAAGTTTGGAAACTTTAGTTCATTCAGTCAGAAACCTCACATTTAAAATATTGGACTTGTCATGGTTGCCATTGTATTCAGGACAACAGCTTAGCCAACATATAAAATTATTCTAGTTTGGTCAAGGTTAGCTCTCCCAACAAACACCTTCCATCTTGGGTTGAAACCAGGGCTTATATGACCTTGTGAACCACTTACAAGACATGGTTGTGGGAATCATCAAGACCAGTAAGCTTGAATCTTGAAAGAAATTTGTGTTTATGCAGTGGAAATATGAGAAAACATATTTTGACTAATGGTATCACCCTAGAGAAAAACACACTTGTTATAAATATGTTCCATTGCAATTGTTGGAAATCTAACAAAACCGCCATAAACAGGACTTACATCAATGTTTCTGCTTGACCTTCTTGGAGAAAAAAAGTACCTTCTGGGAACGCAAAACAAAATGAATTTTTTGGAAGCAAAATAAGCAGCGCAGCCCTTCCTCTTCATAAAATGTAGCCATGATATAGCCGCTGCTGCTGCTTAGTAACAGTTCCTTGAAATGATTCATAAAAGCACCAGATGTAAAGGTGTGCGTGTGTGTTCTTAACTCCAGGCTCTGATGTAAAACTAAGAATCATTCATACAGCGGGTCACAGACTTCGAGATCTTAGATGAATAACATTTTCAAAATTAAAACCATATCCTTCTGGAAAGGGATAAGCTGCGCAATCAAGTCC